AGCTGCTGAAAGCCTGAATGGGACAGAGAGACAGATTATATTTGTTGTGCTGTATAATGTGAGCCCTTGTGCAGTGGCGGTACTATGTCACATCTTCCTCATCCCCGTAAAGCCTTACTTAACATTGAAAGCCAGGTTTGAAAAAATTCTATTTGCAGCTCCAGGAAGAGGATTTTGCTCCGAATGCAATATTAAGGCTACAAAATGGATGAAATGTAACAAAAGCACAAATAAATATGCTTTTGGACCTCTTATCAGTTGTTACATTTGAATGGGGCCTGTTTATTTTTCCCCCTGAAGGCAAGAGAATGTTCTGCATAGCTGTTGTTCCGCTAGCAAAACAACATGAATAATATGCACAAAAAAGTCCATATCTCGAAGCACGCGTTTGCTAAATTGAAACGCATTCTTCCATTAATTCACATATTGATCGTTTGCAAAAAGGGGGGAATAAATTACACTTTGAATTCCAGAGTTTTCGCTCATAATAGGGCTCATTCATCAGCTGGCTGCTGCTGCTGCTGGCCCTGGGTGTAGAAGCAAACTAACAGCTCGAGAAGGAGAATTAAAAAGGAATTCGCTCCACCTTCATAGGCACAGCACTTATCAATTATCAGCAGCCAATATCCCCCGCTACGACACCATTCGCTACGCCAATACGGACACAATGGAATATTTCCGAGGCACACGGAGAAGACGAAAACAAAGCGTGGTGGGGAAAATGAAGAAAGGAACATAACAAAGAGGTCTAAGAATGCAATTTAGAGATACATCTGTTGCATGGCGTGAGAGCGGAAAACAGCAAATAGCATATTATCCGAGGGATTTACTGATACAATCTATGGAGTATTCTAAGAAGTGTTAAATCCTTTACAATTAAAGGTGCATGACATAACCTTTTGGTTGGGGGTCTGTCACCTTCTGGTTTCTGTGGATATGGCATTGTCCTGCTTAGAATATTCCACAATACGACATTAAACAGATCAACCTGACATTTATTCAGTTACAGGTGGTTTCTGTGCTCAAAAATATCTATAAAAACAAACATTCTGACTGTGAACGGGGTCACCTCTCCACTGATCTGAACCGTTACTTGGCCTGGTTTGGTCCCCATGAAGGCTTAATATCATACTGTGAAACATTCCAGACAAAACAATAACATCTCCATGAAGAAAAACATTTGACAGATCCTCCATCAGAAAAGTTACACAATGCACCTTTATTGTTTAGAAAAAGTTTTATTTTTCATTGTGCAACATCAGACAGTCTCTCAGCAAAAATGTCCATAATGGCCGTTTTTAGTTCCTTTTTGTTTTCAGTCTTTTCATACTGTGCAAATTGTTCACAATTGCAGTTTCTTCTTTTACTCAAGTAAATGGCTTTTAAATGTGCACTCACTGGCAAAATAACAGTAATTATATGCCATGATTATTACTTATAATCTTATGTAAAACTACAGGCTAAAGAAATTGTGTGTCTGCTTTTTGTAAAGCACATTTACACGTTAAAGAGAGATTATGTAACTAAGTCTGCCTGCTACCTGCTTGTTCTTGGAGATGTTGCTTTATCTTTACTTTTACATAGTGGTTGGTTGTAGCATATGGCTCACACAATGAGCTGAGTTTAGTTTTTTGAGTTTTAAACATCATATTATGGGATTTTAACCAACTAAGAAGTGCATCATGTGCAGTTCAAAGGACACAAGTAAGGGACTGTTGGATTGTGTGAGATGTTTGTTTGTTTTTCACGTATCCATGGATAATGAGCAAGTGGGCAGTCGAGGAGCTACATTTAAGATGCTTTTTACACCATATGTGGAAGCAAATGTGGCAGAAGACCTTCAGAGGAAATGCTCCGAGACCTTCCTTCATCACAACCATAACAACAGAGCAGAGTAAGAATGAAGCTTAAAAGAGGCCTTTTTTGTTGTGTTCACCTGGCTGCTGTGATGTTGCAAGGCAGACTTTGTCCTGGGGGCTGTTCCTCTCCTCAAACACACACAAACCCTACCTGACCAGTCCTCCTGTTAAACTGCACACAGACATTTAACTGAGACACAAAGGCGACTGAGAAGCACCATGTAAATGTTAGTGCAGCAAAACTTGAAACTCTCTGTCTCTTTACCTGGAATGTTTCACTATATGGCATTAAATTTACCCATCTTGCATTTATTTTATACATTTTTTCCCTAACCTGCTTATCTCCATGGAGATGGATAGGTTTAATACTTTAAGAACAAAGTAATATCATCTCCGTGGACACAAGCTGAAAAGTGTTCCTTCGAGTAGTCTTATGCTGCGTTCGATTATCCATCCGTCTTCCACTCAGATCTCAGGTATGACGTCATGTCGGCTGTTTTATTATGTTCCATGTGTCCAACTTAGAGAAAAACATGGACGCTAACCGGAAAGCTGCTGTTGCTTTAGCTTTGGCTGAGTACCAGGCGCTCCAAAATAAGTCTGTGCGTCAACTGCACAACGAATTCACGAAGAATTCAGTATAAATAGTATAATTCTGTATATTACTGAAGTGAAAGCTTTGGTGCCGCGTGATAGTAGATCATATTGGCCTGTTAGCTAGCAGGAAATGGGCTAAAACATGGGCACCGACTACCATGCCCATAGGCATTGATACGGACGCAGTAAGGTATTGCCATAATACGAGTGACTAAAATTGTTATTTAAACCACCAAAGCACCCAAACACAATAAAAACTGTTCATACTACAAGTGAACTAATGCACCTTTATTATTACTCAAAGAAGTAACAATACCACACAAAATGTAGTCAGTTAAAATCCCTGCCATAGTGATATATGTCAGCATAATCACAAAACCACAAACACAAGTTTTGAAGATCAGCACTTTCCACTTTCCTGCACTGCCCATATGGTTACATTAGTCAAGCCACTCCCTCACAGCGTTTGCTAAAAACTAATCCACTTTACTGCTCAGAGTCGTGCCAAGGTAAAACACCCATGGACCGGCTAACCAAATAAGGACCGGAGGAAGCACAAACAGATGAGAGCCGCATCAGGCCTAACTGAGCACAGAGGTTTATTATGGCTTTAGCTGGAGCCCAGGGAGCAGCAGGACACACAGCACTGGGGCAGGAGACAGATGATCCTGGGAACACCAACTGTACCTGATGCCCTCCCCAGATAACCCCCCTAATCCACTTAAACATGAGCACTGGGCAAGCAAATACACGAGGCTCCAAAGGTATATTTTTGAAGTTTGGAACAAGATGCACACATGGAGACACCGAGAAAGATGGATTGTTGCTGTAAAGTGTGATTAGAACCACAGCTGTTTTTACCCCTCGCATCTTTGAAGGTCCTTATGAATAAATTAAGATAATTAATGTGAGTGTGTGTGTGTGTACAGATGTGTGTCTGTCTGTGAAAATTAATATGATAAATGATTCTAAGAAAAAAAAAAAAACATAATTATGTACCTCAATAATACAAATTAACAATTCTTATCAGAATTTGTATGAAATTCAAAAATAAATTAATGTTTCTGGCAGCTGCATCTCTGATGTGACCAGTTCTTTATGTAACATGAGCCCTGTGTTGTGGAAGTTGGCAGTGATTCTCCATGTTTAGGCCAGAGTCAGGACATGAACATAAACATAGGGAATCAGTGTTTCAGTTGTATGCAGCAAAACCTGGAACAATCGTCCTGAAGATGTGGTGCAGGCCTCGGCTCTGATAATATTTAAATCTAGGCTTTTAGCTGTATGCATATGACTGAAATATTTTTATTCTACACTTTCCTCTTTAATTTTATATTCATATTTTGATTTGTTTGCATTATGATTTTAATGTCTTCCTTACTCTGAACAGCACTTTGAATTACTTTGAATTGTGCTTTACAAATAAACTAGCCTTGCCTTAATATTGTCCCTCTGTCACACTCAGCTGTTGTTCTGCTGATTTTGGATCAGTCTGCTCATTTGGTGAAAAGATCTGAATGTCCATGGTTTTGCACTGTTCCGCATTAATTGAAATAATAATTATTATGATTATGATTATGATGAAGATTATTATTATTATTATTCTTATTATGCCCGAGCGCCAGAGGCTGGCGAAGGGCCTATTAGTATCGCAAAGCGATGCTCCAAGTGGCCCGAAAGTGAAATGGTGCGATGTGACTCGTCTGTAGTGACCAGGGACCCTCACCATGACGTAGCAATGCGGCAGAGGTTTCCGAAAATGTATAGTTTGTCGGCCAAAAAAAAGCGAACATTGTTCTCGTATCAAAATATCTCTTTCTTTCTTATTAGGCCCGAGCCCCGACAGGGTGTAGGGCCTATTGCTTTTGCTACAAGGAGTGAATGGGGAGAGACGAGCTCATGGGCTAATGCGAAAGGACGACTTGCAGCTTTGTCCTCAGTCGCCCCCGGCACGAACAGCAGTATCCCAGTAACCCACGCCCAAGACCTGAGCCATATTTATCACTGCTAAAATGAATGGAAGGCATTGGGAGGTCATGGGCGACCCCGACGAGATGGTGAATGACGAGCCCGTCAGTGCCCATGTGGCTGACACATGTTGGTTCTAGATTCTTGTGAAGATATTTATAATAAAAGCTCAAAGATCATGTTGAAATCTACCCTCTCAAAAACATTTATATGAATTCTACAGAGTGTATAATTTCAGCATGTAGCAGGTTGGTTTCACAAACACAAAGTAATGCACATAGGTGTCTCCCTAGATCATTATGCTAATGAGTGAGAAGTGAGGCAGTTGATGTGCAACATATTAACTTGTCATTAGAAACTGTGACAAGCACAAAATGACAGACAGCAAATGCCTCTCCAGAGGACCGCCTCATCACATCTACAGAAACTGTGTTATATGTAACCAACATTATGTTAATAGATGGAGCACATGCTCAGTTTGTAAAATGCACTCTGTCTGTCTGCATATCAAAGTTATATTTCGCATTGTCTGGATATCACATTAACATTGTTTAAATCCCCATAGCAGGTACTCACCCTGAGTGTGTGTGGCAGTTCAATGGGCGGTCCAATGATGTCCACTTGTGCTGTGTCGTCTGCATGTGCACTCACTCCATGGATGAACATCACAGGCCCAGTGTGAGGGACATCTCTGACCGGGAGCACGTTTAGGTCCTCATCCACCACAAAACTGGGCTCTGACACTTGGAACGTCACATCCTCGTTCCCCTCACAGTCGTCAAACTCCACTGAAAACATACAGAGTGAGGATTACTGCATAAGAAAACATCTGTAAAAGAAACATGGTCACTCCACATTCTATGTCATTTCACCGTCCCATCCAGGTAAATTATAGCATTAGAAAACAAACCAAAAGTAACATTTGTCTCTGCAAAAAGTCACATAAAATACATATGAGGATGTACCACAATGTGTCCTTTACCTGTAAAACTACAATACATAATTATACAAATGTGTTTCACTGCTTTGCCACTGAGATCCAAAATGCAAAACTAAACGCAAATCTTTAAACACATAATCTAAGTACAAATGAATCAACTCCACATTATATAGTTACTTTGCATCTTTTGACTCAAACATTGTACGAAACCTGTTATCTGGGTAATAATGAGTATTCTCCATCATGTGCGGTATTATTTATGCACCTGGTAAAACACGTTCTGTACATCAGGATACAAGCTAACATGTGCAATATAATGTATATTTATCCCCTGCAATCCATGTTTTTTTTTTCTATCCTCTCAAATTCCCTCACGCTGCAACATTATCCCTCTTTTTTTCACAGTTCTGACAGTTCATTCATCCCCCCAGCCTTCACCTCCGCTTTACCTCGCCCTCCCGTGATGCCCCTATAAGGTCCCATAGGAAGTGTGCTGGCACTGCCTTGTAACGTTAACTCAAACAAACACTGCAGGGACTGTATCGCAACATATGGTGTCTTATATAAAGTTGGATCAACCCTTTAAATTATTTATGCAAAATTATCCTGGGCTCAAAGCATACATTAAGTTCCATATGGCCTTAATTATTAATCTAACAGTGTATGAGGAGTTGTCGACTGCCTTGTTAGTAAAAAAAAAAAAAAACAACACTTTTTCAGTTTACTCCTGAGGGATACAAATACCGTAGCAAGCTGTCAAGAAACCAGAGTCCTACAGGTGCATAAATTATAGATTTTGTGTGAAACTTTCTGAAAGTTTTTAATATCTGTGGAATCTCACTGATAAAAGAGAGATCAATCATAATACTATTCATCCAAATTAGTTTGATGTATGATTAAGAGAAGCACAGGGCTCAATGGTGTCTTTTTTATTTCAAAAATTCTAATCCTCTATGATTTTGAGTTTTGAACATATAAAAGCACAAAAATTTAAGTCATAGTATTAGCATATCAAAATGAATAAAATACATAACTTTGCATCAGGTATGCTTTGCTCATAAAAGACATTTACCACATTGATTAATAGATTTGTTTATTTCAGTCACAGGTATATTCTGACATTATTCCATAAGCAGTAATATTCAGAATGCAGGAAGACTGAAAAGGTGTATGCTGAAGCTTGAAGGTGCATTGTGTAACTTTTCTGGAAGAGATTCCACTGCCTTTTTGTCTCCATACAGATTATTGTTTTGCCTGTAATGTTCCACAGTGCAATATTAAACTTATCTAACTCTGTAAGGTCCAAACATTTGTGAAGCCATAGCTGACGCTTTGCGCACCTTGTTCCACCTTTTAAAAAATGCCTCACAAATAAAAGAATCCATGGAGAGTGATCCAAGTGCAGTTTAAAAACTCTACTGAGGATTCACATTATTAGGACATACAAATACAAACAAAAAAGGGGAACTTTAACGTACAGGTGTCAGGAGGTCAAAAAACTGTCTCCACTGGCTCCAGTCCACCCTCTCCTGGTGCACCTGCACATGTCTTAAATAGGGAGCCATAGACCACAAAATAATACAAAAATTAAACATTACTTAAGTAAAATTATGATTAACATTAGCAATAATTAATTGAAGGAAAAATGTAAATAGATCAAATTATTTTGTAACAAATAATCAAAAAATAATCATGTTAACCATAAAGAATTACCAAAATACCAAAATTATGCATTTTAAGTAAATATTAACTCAAACTAAATAAGAATAATTATCTCAATAATGAAAAAAACTACAAAACTGGGTTTAGGCTCCCACAAACTCCATGGAGACAGACGGGGGCACAATCAAGCAAGTTACAGGTCAGATCTGTGGGGAGGTAGGCCAGCTCACAGCTCATATTTCTGTTTTTTAGCATTAAAAACAGGTGTAATTGAATAAATGCTGGATAGATCTTTAATGCCATACACATTCAAGGCAAAACAATAATTTCTATGGTGACAAGTACGAGGCAGACTATGTATCAGAAAAGTTACACAGTGCACTTTTAAGCTTATTTGGCCTACCCTTTATTCCTCTATGTCATAACATCATTCATGTTCATAAAAACAGCAAAAGTATGAGACATGTAATCAACCAGCTCAACACTTGTGCTCCCACACCACTAAAGAAATTACCACTCAAAGCAAAACACCACAAAATAATGCTTTATTTAAAAAGGGATACAAATGAACGGAGGAATACGTACAGTGTTAGAGGTACAGGGTGATGTAATGGATTGAAGAATACTATGCTCAGTTTCTTTAAATACAACTCATTTTGACAAGAATGTTTTGCATTTCTTTTGCTTCAGGCGATTTCATAAATCATCTCTTTTTGTATCATTTCTTTCTGCTTTAAACTCAGCATAGTACTTCCAGTGTGAACTTAAACACAGTTATAGCAAAAGATCAAGTCCTGTCTTTTCCTCCCAGCTCGAGGTTTTGATTTCTCGAGGAGTTCTCAGCTACTATGTCTAGTTAAAATCAGTGCTCTCAATTGTGTTACTTAAGTACACTTATGCAGGCAAAATATAAAAGTAAAAAATATCACATGAAAAAAATCTACTTCTGTTAAACAATTGAAGTGCCTGCCTAAAAATGTACTTTAAGAGTAAAAAGTAAAAGTATTTTACAAAGATCTTTGGAACAATTGAAATATCAAATGTAGGGATTTTGATAAAGAATTTAGCTGATAAGTGATTCAGTTGGTTTCTAAAATTTTCTTGCTGTTTTTGTGTAATTGTGCAGCATTTGGTTTGCTCAAAGTTTGAATGTTCACTTTCAGTCACTTCGGCAAGTCTCAAACCATAAAAAAGTACTGTTTTAGTTTTAACATGTACTGGAGTAGAACGTACAGATACATGCTGTCAAATATAGTGAAGTAAAAGTTGAAAGTATCCACTGTAAAATTAAGTAAAGTACAGATACCAAAAATATTGACTTTGTATTGTACTTTTACTTTTGTACTTCCTGACTTCCACCACTGGTTAAAATGCTTTAGTGTGCCAGTCACAAATTAATTCTGAAACCCATCATGGAAGTGGACAATATAGCCAACCGTTAATGCTTCAGTTTTGTTTCCAATTCTCCTCACTGTCTTTTTAATGGTTTTCTTTTCTATTACAAAAGCTGCACTTAACAGTCACCTTGTAGAAACAATAGCGATATAGTGTCTATTGAGGGGCCATAAATTCCATCATCTGAAGTCCATCAAAGAGCTCACTTAGTACACTTAACCTTTGAGGAAGTGAAGTCTGCCTCTCCTTTAGCACCCATTTACATTTTAATGTCCCCTATAGGTAATGTGATTTCTTGAAAAGAGCAAATGGGTTTTTATCCAAGTAAAAAGAAAAAAGCAGATAAAGTAAATCAAAGGAAATATATAATAATTAAGAGAATAGATGACAGTCTGAACAGAAGACGCAAAAGTGGCAACGCATCTTCACTTTTTATATCGCATTTAGATAAGTGTTTTTGGGAGGAAAGGTGACACAAAAGTGTGCAGAATTTGATTGTGTATGTTTGTACTTAAAGCAACAAGGGCATCTTTGGACATATGAAAGTGTTCACACCACACATTTTCACTAGCTACTCCTTCCACAAAGTTGTCCCACCATCGACTGGTTCGCCAGGTCTCGTCCATAGCCATCTGGCTCGCCTGCAACAAACTGGTGCACCCAGAATTTGAAAGAGGTGATTGCAGCTCCTTCTCTTTTCACTAATAGTATCTCTGCATATTCTGTACATTTGTTGGGATGCCTCCTGTAAGTTTATTAGAGGTGCCAGAGCAGCTTGAAGGTCCAACGCATGGAAATGAATGGAATGGAATTGTATGTATGCAACGTAAACGCGTACGTGACGTGAGCAGATTTGACCAGAGTTTTGCGTCTTGGGCAGTGTAGACGGAGCATATTCAGCTTTTCCACTCTGGAAGGTGGTTTCGGGTTTTTGCATTTTTAAGCCCCCAAAACGCTGTCACCATCTAAACGAAAGGCACTTCCGATAAAATATTTTGCTGTCTTTACCTGTTCTCATGTAAACAGGCCCTAAGTCAAAACACTATCCAGGACTGAAAAAGTAATTCATTTGGCTATACTAGTAGAGCAGCTGGTTAAATGCATTAAAGGTACACTGCGTATCATTTATAGTGAAGGATCCGCCACCTGCTTGTCTCCATGGAAATGTTTTTGCTTTATCTAGATCAAATGTTCCACAGTATAGATTAAACCTATCTATTATGAGGGAGACAAGCAGGTTACAGCACTACGCTACATTACAATTCAGATCTGTGTAGAGTCGCCCCTATTCACACAAGGAATTATTGTATTTTTGTATGTGTTTAATGTCATACCATGAAACATAACAGGTAAAGCAATAATATCTCCATGGAGACAAGAAGGTGGGGGATCCTCCAACTTGTGCAGGGCAATTAAAAAAATAAAAATTAAAAATCATATAATCATGACCCTGACTGGATAGCTATATTTTCAGAGATTACAATCTGTGTCAGGTTCTTTGTTGTTTTCATCACACACCACAAATACGTCAAATTGTTCAGAAAATCGTAGTAGTAGTTCACAGACTGAGAACGCCACTGAGAACGTTAAAAAGCTATATTCAACAAGCTCTTTTGCATGCAGGGAATGAGTCTGTATTCTGTATTCAGCTCCCGAGTCCCATCCAGCGTGAAAGATGTGCACACTTACAAGCCTCAGATTTATTTCAATAACATGGGCGCACTTATGTGAGCTCACAAACCACAGCACCAAACAGTGTCAGTGGCATTTCAAAGACATTCTCAGAGTTTG